ATTTCAATTAAATATTCAAATGTCAACATGTAAAAACAAAAACATGTTAAATATTTCAATTGAAATGAATACAAACAGGAATCTTTGTATTTGCCAAAGCTTATAGAAGCAGCATAACAGGTGTTGTTCCACTAGAAGAGGCAATATTTAATGCCTTGATGCTAAATATATTTTTTACCAAATTAAATGGAAGTATTTAGACTATACTTAATGTTCATGTACTATTCAGACTTTAAAAATAAGCAGAATAAAATATCTGGGGTTTTTAAAGCTACGTGATAATTCAACCAATCTGATGATCAAATAACCTAAATAATGTACTAAAAACAAAATTAGTGTTTCTCTGCTCCTATTCTTATTTTTTTAGGTAAAAAAAAAAAGAGAAAAGAATGCCCTTTCCATTCAATAAACCTCTTTATATTCATTTTTAATTGCTTTTTATGTTTATTTTTGTTGATATACGTCTTACGGTTAAAACAGGATTAATTGGAACAACCTAATTACAAACTAGATTAAAACATTTTATCTAGTACCACAACTAATAAAGTTTCCAAAAGTAATTTCCTTCATTTGAAATTTGTTTTCATGAAACATGAAGAAATAAATAAGAAACGAGTAATTAGTTTCAGTATAAAAATCTGAGTGTAGCATTATTAAAGTCGTAGGAAAGCGGCTGTTGCAAACGTTGCAGTTCCAAATTCTGCTGAGTGGTGCATGACTTTACACAAGTTAATAAAGTGAATGTGATAGGTTGTTTATCAAGAGGGCGGGATTCTTGTGGCGGAAGGTTCACAAGCAAGCTTGATTGTGGCTGGATTACTTGGAAGCATTTTGCTAACCAGTTAGCAACTTAGTGCTAGTAGTTTCCTAATGGGAAATTACATTGGGACCAAGTAGCACTAAATTGGTGACTTAGAAACGACAGTGTCAAGGAACGCTATGGACAGCGGTAACATGCAAGAGGACGAGAGTTTTGTGACGGAATTTGTGGATGAGTCTCCTTACTCTCCTTTCAATTAAGAGTATTAAGTTAAAAGTTCTCTTTTCTGTTGCTGTTATTCAATAAAAGTACACTCTAAGATAATTGGAGGCGAGAACACTAAACTTTTAAGTGTCACTATATGGCCTCTTTATCGATTTAATGTGTAATTTTAGAAAAAGTGTTCCGAAGTTGACTGCGGCAACCTAATTTCAACCAGTCTGCAGCGGCCCTCTCTCAGCATAGCCATGTGGCTGGCTATGATGGCGATATTTTTTTTTATTTGGCAAAATGTTCATTCTATTTGTGTTTATCTGACTGTGTTAATCATTATTCCCCCACCCAAATGAAAAATGTCAGAATTTATTATCATCAACAGACTATTAATAACAGGAAGTGAAAGGCAGCTCCAAAAGAAGCGTGTGGTGAAATCACAAGTACACTTCTGTTCAAAATGACCCAGATTTATTCTGTGTGCTCCCGTTCTCACCAAGTCCACACTTTTCTGTGTTCTTCTCAAGAACATACTTGGCGAGGACATGAGTCCGTACTCGCGTTCTAGTGAATCAAGAAACAGCCAACAATTCGCTCTCCAACTATACACTTGTAACGGTCACCACTACTCTGCGAAGATTCTTATTTCAACCGTTGCGTATATTAGCTGCGACATATGAATCAAGATGCTATGACCAAAACAATTAGATTGACAGATGACTGTTGATATATGATTAGTCGAATTTATGTGTACAGGCTGACGTCTATTCAACTTGTTTGCATAATATAACGGAGAAAAAAAAACGAAAAAAAAAACCCCCACAGATTTTAGGACAGGATTTTTTTTTCCAAATAGAAATTCTCTAAATTTTGGGACAATATTGTCTGATAAGAGTACATTTATACACATGTTTAAGCCAGAATGATTTCCCTCCGACTTTAAAAAGATAAAAACAGAAAAGTCAACATCCTCTCCTCTGCACTTGGCTTGTTCAGCCCTCCTATGTTAATCATTACCTCCATAATATTTTACATAAACCACAACCCCACAGACAGTGCTCATCTACAATGTAGTTTAAGAGCGCAAACATGTATGAAGTAAAAGCATAAAAGTTTAAACTGCCAGTTGAAGGATCTTCATATTGAAATGTCTAAATAAAAACTGCTTGATAATCCACATGTAATATCTGCACAACTTAATTTTAAAGCCAACCTTTATCATGGGCTCATCAAGTTAGTGTTGTTCTATTTAATAGTCTTCAGAATACCCTATAGATCCCCAGAGAAGACCTTTGAAGAGATAAAGCTCATCAGCAGCATCAGCACTTAGTGACTCAAAGTGAGGGTGGGAGTTGATTCGACAAAAATGGAACAACTTTAAAAAGAGTTATGTCTTTACCTTTACGCAGGGCAGGATGTGACTCATTATGATCTGCTCACGATTATCCTCTGGAAGATTCTCACAAAACTCTGGGAATACAAAACATTAAACAAATATGAGGCAGGTCGCTAAACTAGCACAGATCCATTTAACACCTCTTTCAAGCAAGTCTTACCTTTGACTTTGTTGGCAGCAGCAGCGCGGACCTCAGCCTCACAATCCTTGAGCAGATTTTGGAAAGCTGGAACCAGGTCATTCTTTGTGATCTCTGGACCAACAGCCTTTTGCAGCTAGAGACCAAGAAAAACACAAAATGTTTTGGCAAAGTACTGAACTGGTACAAAAACAGTGACTCCCAGAAAAGCACTACGCAAGGAGCCATTGGCACAAGGTTGGAGTTCCCATATTTCTTTCTCACACTGTATTATTATTATTGTTTTTAGAAACATTTCCCTAGCCTCTTGGTGTAAAAAGAAAAAAAAGCTCAGACCATTTAAAAATGATCACAAGTTACTTTACCCCTAAACAAATGACCATTTATTTAAAAAGTGCCAATCTACACAACAGTATGAATCTATAGTCAGGGAATAATAAATATTTAGGGATGAAAGTAGTTTAAATTCTTGCCAGTACTGTGAGAAAAAAAAAACCCAAAAACGTTTTAGTTTTCATTCCTTTCAAAAACAGACATTCTTTATCTTAAGACTTTTTCCTCATAATTCCAGCATTTCCCCTTTTTCATTCAATTTATTTTTTTTATATTTAACAATAAAAATGCAACACAGCCTTTACAGTAGTAGATGGAAATGTATTGGCCTTATGATCAGAGACCTCATAATATTTTTTTGGTTAAAATAAAACTCTTGCTGCATCAGTTATTTTACCTCCAGATAAAAAAAAAACAAACAAAAAAAACCCGAAACTTTTATGGTTATACCAGGTTTGCTTTTGTGAAACTTCTGGAAGACTGGAATCACCTCATGTAACCCAATAAAGAAAATACTCACTAAGACTGCCCACACCAAAAAACTTTTGTTTGTTTTCCATAAAAAAAAAAAAAAAAAAAAAAAAAAAAAAAAAAAAAACTGAAGTAGAAATGTAAAGGGATATGGATTTTTTTTTCCATAAAAAATAAAAAAAAAAGATTAAATAGAGGAACGATGAGAAAGAACCAGTCAAAGGTCTATGTGCTGTTTTGTCTGGGTCTATTTTAGGGTGGGCGATATCGAACATTTTCCCAACAGATATTTGTCCATCCAACAAATGGCGATGCATGTTAGATTCGTGCAGGAGACGTTGTGGGCTAAGACAAGCACACCTTCACAGTGCGTCTTCTGCATCGCTAGTTGTATTAAGCAGCTATTCACACTGCTAAAACCAGATAAGGTAAAGATGTTTGTTTTGATGTCAAAACAAGTCTTGTCAAATGTAAGTTTCATCCAATGGGAATAGTTCTTTTTTTAGAGTCATTCTGACTATATTATGAGAAATTATTTTTTATTTATGCTTATTCATTTATTTATGCTCAGAATCTTTGAGGCTGATATTTATTTCATTTTTATTTCTTTTGAGAAGTGTACAGGTTCACTGGAGGACTTTTTCTTTAATTTTGTATTTATTTTAAAACCAAATCCAATCCATGACAGATTGAGTTGCCTGTATGCAGTTAAAAAGAAGTCTCTGGTTTGGATCATAATTGTTTGCCTATAAATAAAACTGAGTTTTTTTCTGAACATATAACATACTTCAGTTCTTTTTGTCTCAGGTTTAAGTGGATTAATCATTTGGGGCTGCAGCTGGAAGGAGTTATGTGTAGGAACCATTAAAAAACAGCATTATAATATTTTTTTTTTGCTGCAGGCTGCTTCTTAACCTGTAGCCAGCAACCGCCCCAAGCAAAGGGGCTCAGAACCCACCAGAATCACATTTAACTTGTAATTGCAAAAGCATAAAAACAGAAAATGACAACTATTATGATAGAGCAGCACTAAAAATTCATCATCTTGACAGTTTAAAGTATGAACAGTTGAGTATGTTATAAGTCTGTTTCTAAAACTGGTGTCAGAAAACAGCAGGGGGAGAATTTGTTACTATATGATTGGAACACCAATGACAAATTAAAGCCAGCATTAGAGTGAAAAAAGTATTCATCTTTGATTTACCTCTGAGAACTTGTCCGCCACCATGTAACGAACCCTCCAGGACTTATCTTCAGCAGCTTGACGCAGGGTTGGCATCACCAATGTCTCTAGGTCCTCCTGAGGCAGGAGAGTTGCAATACTGACACACGCCTCCACTGCAAGCAGCCGAACAGAGTCCTAAAGGAGACAAAACAGGATCAGATTGGACAGTTGGTAAAACACAGAATTATAAAATGCATGTTGCTTACAAAGCTAATAAGGTAACCAAGCTTATACCTGCTCATCTGATGCCAGAGCAGTGAAAAGAGGAATAATGTCAGTTTTTACATATTCCAACTCCAGAACTTTTGCAAATTCCCCCAGTTTAGATGCAGCAGCACGACGCACCATGGGAGTGTCATCAGAACACAAGGTGCGAAAATGCCTAAACGTAACAGAAATAGAGTCAGAGAAAATATTTAAGGCACACACAGACATAAAGAAGAAAGAAACAGGACAATTGTTTTTTTCTTTAAGAGGTGACTTACTGCCGGATTTCAGCCTTGACCGTGCTGGAGACACGTGGATAACACACACTAAACAGGCCGCAAGCTGATGTGCGAGAGGTGAACCAGTCACCACTGGCCAGCCGTTTCACCAGAGGCTCAAAATGAACTTCCAGGTCAACTGGAGAGTGCTCCTGTGAGATCTTACGCAGGGATTCTACAGCTTTGTCTCGGACTACTGTCTCTTCAACTGTAGCAAGGCTTTCCAAAGGAGGCTGTGCGTCAAAAAAGAAAGAAGTGCATTCAGACATTTGGAAGACACATATCCTAATATTGTAAACACCTGATGACCATTTCTTAAGTTTCTTTTTCACATAAACAAACGCACAGAAGGGCAAATCTCTAATCCTTGGTAAACATTAATTAAGCTGCAGTGGACCGCTGTCATATATTGAACTATTTTTTGTTTACAAAGCTCTGAGTGTCCGATGTGTCAATGACCTACTTTTACAGAGATTAAAACAATCCACTGATGATCAGAACCAGACATCTTTTCTTTAGAAACTGACCAAAACCCTTAAAAACTCAATTATAGGCGCCAAAATTAATAACTACTTTGACTGCCAGACAATAAATACAAAGAATAACAATGCTAATACATTTTTTCAATGTTCAATATAAATCTTGCACATGGTTAGGGGCACTTGTTTTGGTCCATTTATAAAAATAAAAAAAAAGAGAGAGAAAATCCTTAATTTAAACAAATATTTCAAATCATCTAAGCAGATCCAAACTTACCAGAAGACAGTGGACATACTCCGGCCCTCCCACCAACATAGTGAAATTGCCAAGCTGTTCTGCCAATGCCAAAAGTACTTCATCTTCATCATAGATGGTGTCTAAAAATAAGCAAAATAACAAGTGAGATGAATTATTCACATGATAAAACATTTATCAAAAACACTTCAAAGATGAGCTTACCTGTAAGGAAAGGAAGCAGTTCAGTGCGAGTCCTCTCTACGCCAAGAGCCAGAGCAATAGTAGACAGCTTCTTGATGCTGTTCAGTCGTAACTATAAAATCAATAAATAATTGGTACATAGATTAGAATGCGTTCACAATTATAGAGGCATGAATACCCTATCATTAAACTCACTAATGAATAAAGTAATGAAATAAATAGAGGCATGTTACTGTTTATGTTTACACGACGCTCTTTATGATTGAATCTAGTTAGCTAATGCTAACTAGCGTCCATATTACTCTAAAATCAAAGTAGCCCGATAAAAGCTAGCTTTTGATTAATTTTGTTGTGACCAAAGGGGCTTTTACTTATAATCTTGACAGCCTGTAGTGTTCTAGCTTGTTTCACCGGGAACACTCCCAGTAGTCGCAGTCATTTTGGTCCACAAAGCTAACGATGCAATAATGCTAGCGGATTCAATTAACCGAGAAGGTTGTATAAACAATTTGAACATAGAAATGTCAATATTTAAAATGTCTGATACCCATTGCTTGGGGAAGACATTAATAGCGGTTTTAGACGAACAGCAGTAGTCTCAACTTCCAACAAAAACAAGTATAGGTAGGGTACGCCCGGCAGAAAATTCCCGACAGGCCTCAACTGGGACGTTCGCTAGCTAGCTAGCATATTTGCTAACATGCTAGCGAAGGAATCTGGGGCCTGCATACAGGATGCGTAATCATGTTTTCCACGATACAAAGCTGTTGTATTTAGTTAATGTTAATACAACCTGGACGTCTTCATTTCGCAGCTCGTCAATGAGGACAGCGATAGGGTAAAGAGAGTCGTCTCCATCAGCTCCTGCCATTTTGGATACTGGTGCAGTTACCGAATGGCGCTGCTGTTTCTGGGCGGCACTACGGGGTTTCTGCGCAGAACGACCGCAGCAAGGAGCTGCTTCCTCAGTCTGCTGTAATGATGCCTTCAAGGAACCAAATGGGAATGGGATAAATCCGAGACAGGGTATTTCCCTTTGCTTTTTAAATTTTTATGTATGTATTTATTGGACCATTTGTCCGGAATAAATTCTGTCTGTCTGTCTGTCTGTCTGTCTGTCTGTCTTAAATGAAGATAGCTTGTTATAAGAAGGTACGGAAGATGATTAGGGCCACTGAAAAAAAAAAAATGTAACTGATTTTTAAATTTTATTTCAGTATTATATGAGAAAAAAGTCAGAATTCTGATTTTAATCTCAGAACTCTGACTTTATTCTCAGAATTCAGATTTTTTTCTCTCAGAATTCTGACTTTAATTTCAGAATTCTGCCTTTTTTCAGAATTCTGCCTTTTTTTCTCAGAATCCTGACTTTAATTTCAGATTTCTGACTGAATTCTGACAGCTAACAGACATGTTAGATCAAGCCGTAGCCATGTCTGTTTTAGAGACTAAACAAGCTCTCTTGTTTTAATCACCTTCAGCTCTTCTATTAATGAAATAGCATCACCAGGGACCCCACTGGCATGTAAAACGTTGCAGAATTCCTTCATTTTCCACCAAAGTGTTACTGGCTCTCCCAAACAACTTACATCTCTGTCAGTGAAGCTGAGTGCTCCCACATCTCTTCCTTCATGGTGCCCATCTACATAGAAGATCCAAAATTCTAAGATTAAAGTCAGAATTCTGAGATTAAAGTCAGAATTGTGAGGAAAAATATCAGAATGGTGAGAAAAAAATTCAGAATTGTGAGATTAAAGTCAGAATTTTGAGAAAAAAGTCGGAATTCTGAGACTTTTTTCCCATATAAGACTGAAATATTTAAAAATCAGTTAACTTTTTTTATTTTTTTCAGTGGCCCTAATCCTCTTCTGTAATATGGAATACGGAGAAATGAAAACATGCACAATGCCTGTAAAAAAAAAAAAAAGAATAGTATCACCTGTTTTATATTTAGACCACAGCAGCCCTTTTCAACCAGACCTATTTACTGATGTTTCAAAACTTTGTTTTACCTAAAATGTATAGCAACAGTAAAGTATAGTCTAGTAATGTTGTAAGAGTTTCCATTGCAGGGTTTTTAATAGTGCACTTACCTTGTAAATTGGTGTTTATAACGTCACAGGAGACAAGAAACTGAGCTGGTCACCTGGTAGTTGTAAACATTATGGTGGAAAAAAATTCATAACTTGAAAAGTTTAGACTCCTACTTGATCTTTATGTTTAAACAACTGAAAATAGTGCAAGCCAGTCAAGTGGCATGCTGTGCTAACTGTAATATCCTTTTTATGCATACTGACTGAAATGGTAATCATGGGGGCAGTAGAGAAGGGGTAGATGTGGCTGGGATATGAAAATCATATTAATAGAATACAGCAGTCAGAATATATCGTGCTTGTAAAATATTGGCGTAAAACTTAAAATTGAAGGTGTTTGATAACGATATCTGGCTTCTTCTGTCCATGGTCCTATCCAGAAAACAGCTCTGTTGATTTTTTTATTATTCTTCAGTTTATTTTAAATTTAATGTTTTTGTCTATGTGAGCTTTTTGTTGTAAGTTTTGACCTTAATAAATTCTTAAAACTACCTCTAAGTTCCTGTCTGCAGTATCTGACCTGCTTCAAACCTTAACATCACGCTCACTGGTACGGTGGTCTGTTCCGACGGTATAGCTGTGTTGCATCTGCCAGTTGTCAGGGCAGCTTACCACTTTGAGTATTTATTACTTTATTATTTATTTAGTGTTTATTAACTCAACTGTTAGGCCTGAAGAGAAACCCTCATCACTTTATAAGTACTAAGTCTGTTTATTTAGGGTTCTTCTGGGTTTTTTTTCACTGTGTTGCAGTTTTTGAAACGTTATTTAAACAATAAATCAACAATGATGCAACTAAGTAACATTAACTTTTTAACACAGCATCATTTTAATATCTCATAATTTCCTATTCATTCCTCTAGTAAAGGTTTAGTTAGGTTAATCTGCTTGTGGTATAGCTCAGAATGGCAGCTTGTGGACTTCTAATGTGTTGTCTGGCTCCGAACCAATGGAAGAAGTAACATTTTTGACCAAGATTTTGTTTTAGCTCACAAACTTCAGTCCCAACAGCAGAAACCCAGGATTGGGGATCAAAGGAACAAAAAGAAAGGCATGCCAGGTTCTCCAATTTAATGGTTTGATTTCCTGCAAGGATTAAGTGCAGAGAAATAAATTACTTGTTTTGTTTTAAACACAATCTGCTGGGAACAAGTTATATGCATTTAATACTAGTACAACTTGAAGAATTAAATAGTGGACAGACTGCAGACATGAATTGCTTGCCCAACTGCTTCTTCCCCTTCAAAAATACGGAGGCTGTCATGGTACCAAATGCCTTCTGCAATGTCCACATCACCTTTTTTTGTCAGGTAATGATGAGGTTTTTTTAAATTAGAGATGCAAAAATCAGGATTTTGGGATTAGATCATCAAAATCAATATTTCCTCACCCGTTCAAGAATCAAATCCATAAATTCTTTAATACTGTTGTCTCCTGTACATTAACATTGTATTGTATACAAATTAGGGGATGAGAAACTATCATGAATTAATGGATAAGTGACAAGTCCCGTTTGCAGGACTTACCACTTGAGCTAGCCAAGTGATCTGACATGGCCTTCTACACAGCAGCAAGCACCTAAAACACAATTTATTTGAACTTGGAGTTTTGAGCTGAAGTATTTAATCATGTCTTATTTTTCTACATTTTGATTCTCCGAAGACAGATTTTGTTAATATGGTTTAAGCTATTTCAAAAGTCGGAGCCTGTTTTAGAATTCTTCTTTTTTACTCTGGTGACTGAAAAGTGTATCTTTGTTATTATCATTACAACTATTTTCTATAGGTTTAGTTGATTATTTAAACAATATAGCAGTTGTGAGAGGGGAAATTGTGTTTGCAACATGGAGCGGATTTATTAACAGCAATTACTTGAAAATCTGGCAACTACTGGATAGTTAGATTATCAGCTTCGTTGGATCTCACCTTGTATGTTTTACACCTTCCTTAAGGCATGACTTTCAAATTCTGTCCATATGCTGTGAATAGTATTTTACAGACCATATATCAGTAAAAAAATTTGCAATATGGTCCCTTTTAAAGTTAAAACTGAGCAGAACTTGTGTGAAAGAACTGCCAAACTCCAATAAAAAATAATAATTAAATAATCTGACAGATCAGGAAATAGTTTTAATATAATAATGGTTTAAAATTTTATCCCAGTCCTATATGTTTGTTTCATTCTGCAATCAGTAAACATGGTGTGAAGGTTACATTTAAATAACAGTTGTAATTTAATTGAATCTAACAATATCTCCTCATATCATAGCTATGCTACTGCACTGACGGTTAAAATTATTCACCATCATTCAATTTATTCAGTGTCTTTATTTCAACTTTTTCCAGGAAATGACGTATATATTCCAAATGCCTTTATTTTGAAACTCAACAAACCGGATGTTTCGTAATATCTTTGTTAGTTATTGAGCAAGATGGCGTCTCAGCAACTTCAATCTGCTGGTCAATTGTCTCAAGCCGGTTTACAACAAACTGCATCAATGCAACAGCAGCAGCAACAGCAGCTCAGTCAACAACAAGACTTTGATCCAGTTCATAGATTTAAGATGCTTATTCCGCAGCTTAAGGAGAGTTTACAGGTAATTACCCCGCTATTAGCTAGCTAAATGATGGATACTATTGCTGCCTCAAGATATCCTGCCTGTCTAATATATATAAACATCTTTAATTTTCAATAGAATCTAATGAAGATCGCAGCATTAAATTTGGCTCATAACACATCAATTGATAACGGCGTGTAAGTAGAGTATCAGTCCTTTTTTTTTAGCCTCCACTCAATAAGCGTTGTTCTTCTAAAAGCTGTTTTTATTTCTGTTTGTTCAGTAAAAGCAGCGACACGCCAGTTCAACGTTTTGATAAAAGTTTGGAGGAGTTTTACGCCCTTTGTGACCAAGTGGAGCTGTGTTTGGTAAGGCTGTACCTCAGTTAACATGTTCTCTTTAATGCTAGAAGCTGAAAAAACACCTTTATATATGGAAGTCTGATTAAAAATAATACTAATATCATTTTTCCTGCAAATTAATAAACTTGTATATATTTATAAAGCTATAATCGGCATTAGAATTTGAGCAGATTTCATGAACAACCCATCCAGTCCATTTGCACAACAAAATAAAAATCATATAAACCAATATGTAAGAAGTGAAAGGACACTGGGAAAATGATTTAAAATGCATTGTTTAATTCAAAGTATTTATATTTTTAATTGAAAGTCTTGATTTATAGTGACAGCCTATAGTTTCCTATATAGACAACCAGTCTCTCTTATCAGTGTGTGATTTTGACCCATTCTTCCACAAAAAAATTGTCCAGCCTTCCCCTTCCATGAATTTAGAGCTGTAGATGTTTTCATTGTTTCTCTGTAGTATCTAGATTCAGTTAGTGGTTTATTTTCCTTCTCCACATTCACTTGAAAGCTTCTTTAATATTATTATTGTGACCCCTCACACCCCCACCCTGGACTGTTCTCCCTGCTGCCCTCTGGAAAGAGACTTTGAAACATCCCATCCAGCAGATTCCAGAACAGTTTCTTCCCCACTGCCTTTAGACTGCTAAATGTTATATAAAATGGGTTATAAAAAAACCCTGAATGTTGTAACTGTAACTATACAGTTGTATGTTTACATCACTTTTCTTTACCACAGCAGGGTTTTTTTTTTGCACTGCACTTTAAAAAAAAATGAAAAGGTCTAGAGAGCTGTACTAAAACATTTCTTTTTGTTTACACTTGTGTGTACAAAATTAGAAAATAAAATATGTCCAAGTCTCTAAGTCTTCATTAATCTTGCCTTTAAGGTCATGGTTTTACCCAAATATCCACCTTTGCCTTACCTTCATAGTCCTGCTAGATGAGTACAGATCTTTTATATCATTTCTCTAATACCCCCTCTTTATGTATACTGGCATAGAGCTGCACACTGTTATGATCCCACCTCCAGAATTCCCTTTTGGATTGGTGGTGTTTGGGTAATATCATCTGCCTTTTGATGTTTAAATGTTTTCAGTTCAAAGTTTATCCTTCCAGTATTTTTAAGGCATATCTTAATGTGTTTGAACAAACCGTGAACACACTTTCATAAAGTTTTCTGTTGTTTCTTTGAAACAAACATCCCAGTTTTAATGCAGTCTTTATTGTCTACTGGATCTTAGGCAGAAGAAACAAAAGAGCCATCCGAAGAGTTTTAAAAAAAAGTCATGATTATTCATCTCCAGTCAAAATAAATTTTTTACCAAATGAAATGTTGTGATTGAAAGCTTTCATTTGGCAAGACTTTTATATTCTAACATGGCTATTGTGTGCTTTATTTTGAATGAAACACCTACCTTACAAATAATCACTTTCCTTTTCTTATGTCCAGCGTCTGGCGTACGAGTGCCTCTCTCAGAGCATTGACAGCGCCAAACATTCCCCTAATTTGGTCCCTACAGCCACCAAACCAGACACGGTGCAGACGGAGTCCATGTCTTATGCCCAGTACCTCAGCATGATCAAGTCTCAGATCTCCTGTGCCAAAGATATCCACAATGCTCTACTGGAGTGCTCTAAGAAGATCGCAGGAAAAGGACAGCCTCCGGGCATGGTGTAGACTCGGACTAAATATTTATAATTTTTTTTTTTTTTTGGTATGTTATAAGAGGAGGCAAAGCCACAATTTTCCATGTTTTTTATTTTGGTTAAATGCTGTGTAAATATTCCTGACAGTGATGCTTTGTGACCAGCAGGAGGCAACAAAGTTCCAAGAACTATTTTGTAACCTGTTTGTATTGACTATTAAAACTTTTTTCTGCACACCTTGATCACTTTAATCAGTATAAACAGGAAAATATGCCAAATTCTTTCTTATTTGGTTCTTTTTTTTTTATGAAAAAGCTTCAAAAGAGAACATGATGACAAGGTGATGAATTACACACTAAACTCAAAGGTGGTGAATCACACTTATATCCAAAAGCGAAGTTTTGTTGTACGTAGAAAGAGGACAAATCTTCACATTTGACGTAGAGAGGGGTTGAACAAGAACTGTTAAGATCAGAGGCTCGGAAGTGTCCTGAAGTTTGATGGTCTGATTATACAAACAAGCTAGTGTTGTATGGTTGGCCTGCAGCTGCACAACACCTCAGGCACATCCAAGCGACTGACAAGTGCTGCCAACCAAAAATACTTCTGAGTCACCAGTAGGCGTAAAAAGGTCATCAAAGTATACTTGCACTCTCGTACTCAGGTATCTAATAAAATAAAACGGCAATGGGAATGCTAAAAGGTAGCATCGGATTACTTTCCACTCGTTTATTTTCAGACACCCTGAACTGATGATTTAAACATAAAAAGTACAAGAATATAGTTGGATGTATTGATCGAATGCAGTGTTTTCTGGACTTTGCAGTAAAGCAGAAGGTTCCGCATATGCAAACAAGCAACAATATTAAAAGAGAAGTTCAAAAGATTTGTACAAAGAATAAAACTTTTAAATACATTTAGACATGAATTGTAAATATAACTACATATATCCTACAAGCATTGCTTTATTTCACATAAAGAACTCAGTGTTTCACAACGAAAGTGTGAAAATTTGATCTTTTTATAAAGGTTAAAGTGAAACAGCTGTTTTCATGTAACCCAGAAAGCCTTTTTTAATGCTATCCTTACTTGACCGTCTAGTTTATGTGGGTGACACTATTTCCATTTTTAGGTACTGGATTAAAGATGAGACGTTTGGAATATTGTTTACAATCTAATCCGGCTCTAAACTTCCCCTCCTGACCTGCTCGCTGTTTCCTGGTCTTAAAGAGCTTGGTGCTCTTCACTGTGTTGAAGCGTAATTTGTCATACAGATTTAATTGGAAAAAAAAATAATAATAAAATACTTCTATAGACATAAAGCTTTTTAGATGCTTCATAAGTGACCATAAGTCCAAGCCAGATGTTAAGAGGAAACATCTAAAACATGCAGGTCAGTGAGGGCACCCAGGAACAGATACGTAAAATAACATTGTCTGTCGAGCTATTATTAGAACGTTCTCGGTTTGGTGGTGGTGTGTGTTTCTGTAGGGGACAGGCACCACTGTGAGCTTTGAGTTTCTTAAAAGACTTTTAATAACACAAAGACAAACGTTTACTGGTTGGGTTTGTTTGAGTCTTTACCCTCCAACGTGCTCTTCCTTTTATCTCTGGGGAAAGACGAACAAAATAAGCACAAAAAAAATATTAATTGATTCACTTTATAAACGTGTGCATATATTCCACCTGATCTACATCCAGGCTTATAATCAGCGCTGCATGAGGCCTAAATACTGACCTGTGGTGCTGCTCAGGAGCAGGGAGGGCAGCGTTATGCTGCTCAGGAGCAGGGAGGGCGGCGTGGTGGGCAGCATGGAGCTGCACAAGGTTAGACATGGGGGCTGATGATTGAAACTTGGACACCGCCTGCTGCCATTCCTCATCAAATGACTGTGCTTCAGCTGCAGAGGGGAGATTAAGTTACAGAAGCACAGTGGGAGCTACAGTCAAACAGCTTAACTATAAAGATTCAAAATTGTAAACATACATTCATCCATATTTTGAAAGTCCTGGTTGAACTCTCTCTCTCCAGTTTTCTTATTGCATTTCTTCTCCACAACATGCCCTTTGTCCTTGATGTGGTGTCCAATCTTCATCTTCTCCAGACCACTTTCAGAGTCTTTAAGGGCTTGGCGTGTCTCCTTAATCTTGGAATGACAGCAAAGTTAAAGCTGTTAGATTGAGAAGGTTTGTTTCTTAAGGGTTTTGGGCACCAATAGGATGTAAATGCTGGATTGCAGCTTAACATTTCTCAGCAAGTGGATTGGACAAATTCCATCTATATTGATTCTGAACAGTAAAAAATGAACAGATCTAATAGATCTGGATCATTCACAGCACCCTTCTGAATTAGCGGGGATATTGTAGGAGAGGTATTGAAATTAGCTGCTGTTGGCATTACAAAGCTGTTCTCACTAAAGGGTTCTTATCTAAAAGGAAGCTGCATTTCTACCCGCATGTCTGTGGTTCACCTACCCTAAAAAAAGAGAGAGAGCAAGATTTTTAGAAAATAACAGGAAGGCTTAAGTACAGTATCCTTTGCAGCCTTAAGGCTAGAGCTGTGTAAATAGCCTTTTGTATCAGTCCATTTTAAGTTTTATTGATTAGGTTATTATTATTATTTTTTTTCTTCACACATTTGAAATGAGGACTGGTGGAAAAATGTAGAATTTATCCCTGTTTTTTAAAGAAAGCTAGATAGATCAGCCCTACTACCAAGCTTGTTAAGCCTGGCTGTGGGGAGGCTGAGCTGGTAATTTCATTTATCTGCCTAAATCTCTCAGAATGCCATTCAGTTCTGCTTTGAAGCCAACTGAAATAATATAAAACTCGTAAGGATAAAACAATTAGTCGTGATAAATCGACTATTGAAATAATTGTCCAATAATTTAGTAATCGATTAGTTGTTAACTGGAGCATAGAGACTATATATGCTCCAGTTAACATATATAGTCTCTGTTTAATTTTGTAAAAAGTCCTCTTTAAGGATGCTTTGGCTATCCGATTATTAATCGAAAAGTAATTGTCAGATTGAAAAATCAGACGTATTTTCTATTGACATTAATCAGGTGTATACATTGACATTAGTTTACTGCTAAGCCCTATTCAAACCTCTGTCTGGACTAGAGCATACTGGATTTAGGAATAATGGCCGACCTTTGCACATTTCACTGTTGGGGTAAGGATTTAATAAAGTCAGATGTTTAAGAGTATAAATATGTGATACAATAATAAAACAGACTTTATCTAATAACGCATGTCTAACAATAATCAAATTTAGGAAGTTTCTTCAGGACATTACCACACATATATGTAAACACTTACCCCTCCAGGTGCGCAGCGCGTCTGCGAAGTGGCCTGGAAGACCTTGGGAGGCTCATTTCCAACTTTTGAATATGTCATTATTGATGAAGACCTGAACGAGTGGGTGTTGGAATCTGCTGACGAGTTCTCCTAAAGAACAAGCACATGATATACCAGCACCACTTAATAATACATCTTATTCATACTTACTTACTTAGCACAATCTCAGAATAAAAGAAGCATGTTTTATACATGAACTTACAAAGTTTCTGTTCACTTCTTCCATCCTGTTTCTCACACTGTTCATCACGCTGCCAAACATGCTGAAAGGGTTCTGCATCATGTCCTGCTCCAAAAGACGAAATACCTCATGAGTTTAAAAGCTGCACTGATGTCCCTACTGGATGTAAAAAGTACATGCACAGAGTGCCATGCTAAATGTTTCCTATGCAGGCCATTTTGCAAGGAGACATAAAATGCTTTGGGGTTGCTAATCACAGAAACGGGGGAAAAACAAAACAAGAATGGTTCCTTTATTTGTTTCTTCCAGAACTGAGTAAATTCCACAGTGTTAAATATGCAGTGTCAAAGTACATTGACTCTTTTAGAGTTATTACAACAACAACTGGAGTAAGATATACACTATGTAAAGGGTTAATTTCACACTAATTCAGAGTGGGACCAAATGCACTTGGATTGGTGTTAAATTTAACTCTTAAAGTGTTACTTTAACACTGTAAAATTGACTGGATACATGCTTAAATAAATCCCTGAGCAGGCTGTCAGTAATCATGAATGTTTGTTAAAACAAATGCAGCAATCCAGTTTTCCACTAAACCACCTGTAACTAGCTGAACACATCCAGGTGTACGTCTGAATGAGACAGCAATCTCTTTAAAGAAATTTAAATAATTTGCAAGGGGAATCAATTCATGTATAAAAATCAGTTTTTAAGGTACATGGTTAATTAATAAATAGCAGAGGAACACATATATATCCTGCTTAACAATCAATGTCATCAAATCAAAGTCAGACATGTTAGCTGCAATTAGAGCATGCACCCGGTCAGAGTCAGACGAGTCAGACCCAACTCACCGTGCTTTCAATGCTGCCAAAAGGCAACAACGACTGGCTCATATCCTAAGGAGTCAAACATCATAATAATAATTAATAAAAAAAATTAAACTTTATTGACCTTACATTGGGGAAATTTATCTCTGCAGTTAAGCCATCCCCTTGGGGAGCAGTGGGCTGCGTTTAGTATCCTTCCTCAGAACTGCGGCGTTCAGCTGCTTACACATTTGTTGAGTCTGCTATTCAAATGAACCACAGTATTTACAACTCTTTAATATGTCAACACTCTAAGATTAGTCAAACTGAACAAAGACAGTTTGTAGACATCCATTTTCAAAAAAAAGTCCTTCAATTGATTTAGATCTGAACTTTAATTCTAACACATGATCATGATGTGATCTAAGCCACAGTGTTGGCTGTGTGTGGAGTCGCTGCCCCAGTCTCAAATCTATTGCCGTCTTTAACTGTTTTTGCTCCTGGTTTCTCTCTTTAGATCAACTCTGACCAGCTTTCCTATCTTTCCTATCTTCCTATCCGGCATTGCTCCAGTCATGTTATATTTTTCTTCCCCCCCCCCCGAACTTCAACAAACATTTTTCAGAGTTTGGTAATACTAAAACAAGCTCTAGTCCATGGACATTTTGATTTCAGAAGTGGGGGAGAAAGCATTATTCAATATAACTCCTATAGATAAGTTCAGTGTGTTTTCAAGTAGTTCTTCTGTGTTTATATATTGTATTTTTCTGTGATAATAATATATAACTGCAATACATTTGATGTATAAGCATATACATACTTTACAAGGTTATTGAAAGCTTTAAAATGTGGAGGGGGATCTTGAAGTGGATATGCTGCTTTATGGAGCCAATGAAGGTGTTTTAGGAGGGGAGTTACACAGTTCTTTAAATGTAACTTACACTTTGACTTTTAAAGAAGTCTCTTATGACTCTCTTACTTTTTTCGGACATCCTGGCTGCGAGTCTAATAACCAAACACACACACGCACATGAAACCAATTCAAAGATTTTTGTAATTAAATACACTTGTTATTACAACCCTTCTAGATGACGTGACCCAAGAGAAGAAAAAAATGCCCAATTTACAGTAGTAGACTCCATCATCAACTGTTGTTTTTTGCAGAGCCACGTTGATCTAAAAGACCTTTCACAGACACGATTCAGAGGAGCATCAGATGTTTGTAAAGCGAGCTTCTCATGAGTGACAGCGGTGACAGCCAATCACACAAGAAAAGACGGAGCTCCAATCAGGAGTTTGTGGGCGGTCTAAACTCAGAGAAGTGGGCATCAGCTTGAGCTGCGTTTTTCCGACTGGTCATAGTGCTCAACGATGTCTGTGTACTGTAGCCTAACATTGTTTTGTTTGGACAGTTAAAAAGTGGGGACATGTCGTCTCCCACCCCAAAAGGACATCTATTTTCTAGTCTCTAAGAGTCAATGAACAACAAGAACAGAATAAAACAAATCCGAGAATAAAAACTCACTAATGTAAGCTTCTTCAAATCCTTCCAGCACTCGACAAAAGTTTACAGTTCCCATTAAAAGTTTCAATCAAAAAGATTTGATCCAAGTTTTTTATTATTTCCTGCGACAATGTCATCATCAAAAGAAGTAGTGATAGAAAGTATTAAAACAAATTATTGGAATCCCAATCACCAATAAAGCCAAACGGTTTTCCAGCCAATCAGATGTCAATACTTCATTATCTGGATGCATCTTGGTTTCACTGATCAAGGTTCCTAACAAAATTTTCTTTTTTTGCCATAAAAATGGTAGGATAAATGAAGGGCTTCCCATCATTCTTAAAGTAACTGTCAGTAAGTTTTTGGGACTTTCTCTCCCAGTGGAAATGCCCCTTGCTTACTTGCTTTTAAAGCAATACACATTCTGTGTGGATGGAAGCTCATGGAAGGTGATTTAAACGAAGCATCCTGCTGCACCCACGCTCGGCCTTCCAGGACCACGGGTGTTTGTGACCTCGCCATTTCGGCTACGCGTCTCAACAGCCGGACACTATGTGTGCGAGGGGATTTTCTGGGGTTGCGATATACAGAGTTATTGCGTGTAATCAGTGGGGTGTTGAATGACTTGTGTTCCACGTGTAATTAGGTCGCATCGCCGGAGATTAGAGTGGGGTTTAACACTGAAAGGGAGCCTCGTTCTAGGAAGGGTGAGGTGGGCCGGGCTGTCCAGTCAGGACATGACTCCAGTGGGACTGGAAGGGGGGTCGTAGAGTCCAAGGCTGCCCTCTCAGCTCTTTTTAAAGGTCAAGCTGATGTAAAAAAGCTCCTGAACTGCCAATTTTATCCCACAGAGCATCTATGGACTAATAAATATCAGCTGCATAGCACTATGTATTATACTTAGACTATGAGAAGAGGAGATAACATGGCCAGAAATATTCAGGACTTTCTGGGCCATCAAAAGGGCCATCAGTTCAACAGAGGCAAATAAGAAGTTTTCCTCAATTTATACGACTTCTTTTTCTGATTCCTCTTTGTCGTATTTACACTTTAAAAGACAGATTGTCTTTTTTTCCCTTATGTTTGAATATTTCAGAACTAATTTAATCATCAGACAAAGACAACTTGACCAAAAAGCAACAATTAGAGAAAAATGTCCTTTAATAGGCAATGCTATCCAAACTGACCACCCTGATAATAAGAGTTGGTTCCATTTCAACTTTTATTTGGGCTTTCTGAGCATTTGTGGTCAGCCTTGGATTACATAATTCAACACACTCTCAGTAATATTCATCCTGGTTCAGTTATTTATGCACAGCTAAAGTTTGTTTTGTGTGTTGCTCGTTTCTGGGGACATTTGTCACTTTTAC